CTTATCCTACACTTGCTTCAAGTAACTTTAGCTTTTTACTAAAATTCTCTGGAATTTTTTCTGATTGCCTGCGTTTTGTCTAGTTTGCACATTGTATACTTCTCTTCTATTGGCTTACATATAACATATTAAATTAGTTATCTATTCATGTAAAGTTTGTTTACCTTGTTTTGTAGCTCTTGTATTACATTAAATGATCTATATAACAGGGTGAATTCAAATTCCCACTTTTCTCTAAAAAATTTCTTCGCCTTTTCTTTTAAAGTGAGTTTTCTTCTAGTTATTTTCAGAGGTTTTCAGGTTTTCTCTATCAATATATGTAGTTTTAGATGCTCTCTCTTTTTGCTTATTGCTATTTATGTTATTTCTTAATACAGTTTATTAGAAAATTGTGTTTTCTTTTAGCTCAAAAAATGGTCAAAATGATCTACAGAGAGAGTTGACTTTACTGAGCAAGTAATAATATTATTATTTTAGCTAAAACTTTATTTTATAATATAATAAAAAGAAAAAAGAAATAGTAAATAAAAAAAAGAAGAAGAAATATATATAGTATTTTATATTAAAGCAAATACTCTAATATTTTTTATTTTCATTCAACACAGAACTCTTTCTGATGATCACTTAAATCTATGTAGAGCAACACCAACCTGTAGAAAAATTTGGAAAATATAACAAAAGGATATACAACTCCTTCTAGTAATACAGTAGAATTAAAATGTTTAGCTCGTAATTTTTGAAAAATATTGTCTTGGAGTTGCAGCCCGTATTATATGTCTAGAAACTTTTAAATAGAAGTGGCATTGCTGAGAGCTTTTGTCAAGTATTTTTGTTTGGTTATGAAAAACAAACATATACTTGTCTTATTATTATATTCCTCTAAAGTAGCATAGTCTTATAGTCATTACAACATACTCTACAAGTAAGATTTTACTGAACATATCTTTTAGACTTTTTCTTTTACTAGCTTTGTTGTTTTTTAGGGCAAATTGGAGAAATTAGCTACCCCTCTTCAAAAGCTCTACTAATCGACAAACAATATTAGGAATTAGCCTACTTATATTCAGATATACATAACCAAATACGTGTTAGCTAAAGTATATGTTAGAAGAATTCTGTATAGATAGCTATTTGAATCATGTTTTGAAGTAAACTCATCTAGGTGTAGATTAGATCTTTTTAAGTTATAGTGAAAAATATAGGAGAGTAGCTATATACAATTTTTATATAAGCTATACTGGGAGTAGTATAGTATACTACCTCATTTTCTTGTTTTTCTTTTTTCTTTTTTCCTTTTCTCTGTTTTTTGTTTTATACATCTAGTCTAGTTTGTTTTAACCTGTAGCAGGTTTTTTTTATAGTTTAGATATTTAGTATAGATCGTTGCTACTCAGATTTTATACAATTTTTTTTTTTATCTCATGTTAGATTATATTCTATCTTTTTTTTTAAAGTAGTATTTAGAATCAAGGATAGAATAGTCTAGCTAGGGTGATCTTAATACAGGCTAGTAGTAGCCTTCTTTTGATTGAGACTAGGTAGATATATTAGTTATGCATCTAGTTTCAGGAAGAAAATTATGCTGCTGCAACAGATCGCAATTGGACACCATTTGGGCAGCTGAGTGAATTCAGAATTGCAACAAGGCGAGCATACCTTAAATTAGAATCTTTTTTCTTTTTTTGTATTTGTCTAAATGTCTTTAAGATATTCACCTAATAAAATGAAGAGTAAGATTGCCTAAGTTTAAAAAAACCTGCTACAGGTTAAAACAAACTAGACTAGAAAAAACAAAAATATAGTAGAAATAGAAATGTAGATTTAGAAAAAGAAATTAAAACAACTATATTAGAAAAGATTAATATAGCAGAGAATATACTTGAACTAAAGTTAGAAGAAGTAACTTTCAAAGAAAAATTTAAAAGATTAGATAAAGAACTAAAAGTCAAATATAATAACTCTTCTTTTGACAAAAGTATATGGATATTAAACAAAGAAGATGCAAAAAAAAAAGAGACTTTGTTACAAGAACTATTGCAGCAAATATTGTTAGCAAAAATATATTTCAAAGAGAAAAAATACTTAGATAGTTACTAAAATATAATATCTATATCAAAGAAATTTCAGAAAAATTCTTAAAAGGAAATTTATGGTATTGTTATATTGCTTCTACTTCTTTAGAGAGAACAACTAACTAGAAAGACTAATAACAGTGAATACTTTGTATAATATTCTTGTTACTATATTTTGTCAAAGTCTTTAGAGTATTTTTACAAAACTTAACAAAGAAGATTTAGGGTAATTTGCATTTATAAAAGAGGTAACAATTAAAGATATATGAAGATATCAATAAATATTTATTTCAAAGTATCAGAAAGATACTTTTATTGTAAAAGAGTATGAAGACTCGATAATAAAATTAAGGTCCACATATGCTGCTTTTATACTTTACAAAAAATTAGAAATATAACAGGCTACATATATTATATGAGCTATATATGCTACAACTATCACTAATAAAATATATAATATAACTAATACATATATGAAATATATAATAAATATAATATGTGATATATATATGATAAATAATATAAATATCTCAAAAACTATAAGTAATAGATATAGTACATATAATGAATCTTGCGTAGTAATCATCAGCTAATCAGATTATATAATTATTGTAAAAAGGCTAGAACTTGATTATCACGGGATTCAGTGATTAGATTTTAATAATTCTTATTTTATTAGAACCGTCTCAGTGAGCTGATTCCAATAGTATATGTTTCATTCAAATTGAACCAGTAGATCAAAAGTTATTAAGGATTTTATATTTTTCTTAATGTTTTATAGGTCAACAATACGATTTGCATTTTATCTATCACCACACACTGAGTATTATCACTTTTATATGAGTTATTTCAAAATAAATTACTTGCATATAAATGATCGATAATACTGTAATAAAATTCTAAGTTTGGTATATTAAACCAGATATTGAACCCTTAAAATTACTTGCACATAAATAAAATCTAAGTTTTGTATATCAAACCAGATATCCAACTCTTAAAATTTGATATGAACATGAATTAAAGTGTTTGGTATTTGGCTTGAAATACCAAATTTAGTCATAAGAGTAGAAATTTTTATGTGCATATTATGAGCTTTAAGACCACAGGCACCTCTTTTGCTAAAAATAAACAATTTTAATCTTATTTATCGTACTTTTCAAATTAATAAAACAATCGAATCTATAAATTTCAATTGTTTTATAGAAGTAATGCATGGGGCTCAAACAGTAAAATTTACAAAATTCAGTTTTAATTTGAAAAAAGTGATAAGTTTAGACGTTTTGAGATATATCAATAGTATTTTTTTACTAAAATTCCTGTTTCTGCTTATTTTAAGTTAAAAGCTTTGATAAGTATTATTCAGAATAGTATACTATAGAACTTCAATCTTTTATAAATATTGATCAAAATAAAATAACTTTTAAGCTTAAATGCTCTAAATTCAACAAGCTGTTAGTGATTATAAATAAAATTTACTAAGCATAACAATTTGTAATTTTAAAAAAATATATTAATATAAAAGTAATTTATATAATATACTTACAAAGACTTTAGTATATAAAACCCAATCTTATATTAGTAAAACACTAACATATCAAAATACAAAGTTATGATTGTATTACGAGGTGAACTAATACAAAACTTATATTTTAGGCTATATGCTAAAGATTAATAGATTTCACATCTAACTCATAATAACTTAACATATATACTTCTCTATCTAATTCATCTTGAGATAAAAACTATAACTACAGTAAACTAGTGTGACTTCATAATTACAATTGTTCAGAATAATTTTGAACCCAAGTATATATATCAATCAGAAGCTTTACAAAATAATATATGTCAAAGTTCTTCAAAAGCAATTACTTCTATATATCAACAAGCTTTTTCTACAAAAACTAGATTAGATAGTCTCTTAGTTATGGGTTATGATAATTCAGAGATATGTAAAATATTACTTTCCAATATTTATTTTCATCCTTATACTTTTAAAATTAGAAACTTAAATATGATTATTTTTGAAATTAGTAAATCGAACAACTCTGATTGGAATTATGCTAGAAAAGAATATTAAAGCTCTTTTATGTATAACTTTCACAAAACTCAAATGATATTTTTTCAAGAATTTAATAATAATAATGCAATTGTTAGAATTTATCAAAATTTTCATGAAATTCAGATTTTTTATGATACTAACCCTAATTCTGTTTGGAGTAAAATTGGTATATTAGCACAAATTATAGGAAGCATGCTATTTGGACTTGAACATGAACAAATGAAGTCAGAAATCAGCAAAGAACTAACCTTTTCATGTACTATCAATGATTAAAAAAATGAACAAATAATAAATATACTTTTTAATTATTATCTGAGAAGACATATCAATATATCTATAATTTGAAAAAATTTTTTATTAGCTAGCAGAATTAAGAAAGTGATCTTATTGAATTAACAACAAAATTACAAGAAATATACTCACCAAACTATATAATTTTAGGTCATGAATTGCATATCTGGAGAGCCTTATTACAATGTATAGGCTGTACTAACATAATACCTTTTGGAAAAGAATCTGTGGTAAACCTTTTAAAATAAATAAATGATAAAGAAATATATACTGTATATCAGATTAAAATATGTGTCAGATTTCATACACCATATAAAGTCCTAGGTTCAAAAAAAAAGTTTGTATTAGATCAAAATTTAAAATAGAAACAAGTAAAATACAACAATGTCACTCTCATAGTATTTTACTATGAAGGTATAAAAAAAAAAAAAAAAAAAAAAAGTAGGGACAAGAATAGATAACATAAATATTAATCTGCATATACAAATATATGTATAATATATGTATAATTCTAACTTTACAGTTACTTGTAGTTTGAATTTTGGACTTGATCAAAAGACTTAGCAAGTAACCAAGTGATGTTAAAGCAGTTATACAAAAGCAGATATCTTAATACTACTTCAGAAAATCACAAAAAGGTCACAAAACAATTTTGGAATACATTTCAAGATAATTTAGATATTAATATTCGTGGAATAGATGGAAAGAGAAGAATATTGTTAATTATTGTGGATAAAATTCCCTATAAAATAATTAAAAAAAAGTTACTAATTAGTATCTAAGCAATATTAGAATATTTTAAAAAACCTTTGAACTAACAAAATACTTATTTTAGGTTTTAAACTATCTAATTACTGAAGTACACAAATATATATGTATTAATAGTCCAAGAGGTATCTAACTTGAAAAACCTAAGATTATTTTAGAAAAATTAGCACTAGAAAAGAAAGAACAAATTGAGTATTTTTTTCAAAATAAAGCAAATATAGTAATGAGCTCTTACAAATCAGATAGTACTACTGGATTACCTGTATATTATTTAAAAAATAATAAGAGGCTTTATAGGAATAGTTTCATAAAGAGTATCCTAATAGCATTAAAAGAATAATATTTTATAAATATCTACAAGGTAGCTAATATATATATAAGGAAGACTTAGGTAGTCTTTGCTCAATCTATAATATATATGGATATAAAACATCTAATGAGCTTAAAGTATTAATACAATGCTATGCAGACTTGAATTATCAGGTATTAAATTCAACATATTAAATTAGCACCTTTGGAGATTAGTATGATATAGATAAGTAGATCAGTATAGTATAGGATAACTATATCATACTGATCAGCTATAATTCCTAATTCTAATGTTAATATATAGGTACAAAGAGGAAAAGCCAGTAAGTAAAAATGTTTTCTCTGAAAAATTGTGATGTTATATAATGAAACATATATATTATATATATAATTAATTATGAAAGTAATATCATAATTTTTCAGGTGAAATATTTTTACTTACAGGTTTTCCCTCTCGCGCACCTATATATAACACCGAATTCAATATAGTACAAATTTTTAAATTAGCCCATATATACTATACTAATTTGTAATCTAGTATTCTTTAAATGCTATTCAACATATTTGCTACAATAATTCTATCATATGATTCACAGACATAAATATTTGCGAAATTATCATATTACAAATTGAATAGTATTCAAGGTATATCATTTAATTTATCAATTTTGAATCTGGCACATGTTTGCCTTTTAATATCAACTAATTTGTAATTCAATAATAATAAAAAACAATTATTATCTTAATATAATAATCTACAAAGATATTTAAAAAAGGATTATAAAAATGAACTCAAAGTAGATTTTTTTGAATATATAAAATATAATATCTGTATTAATCATTATAAACTCTATGCTTTTGGAATTTGCTCAAAATTGCATAAACTAATCTGTAATTGTTGTAGAGCTTTTTTTTACTTATTTAGAAAATTCAAGATTATACACTATATAAAATTCATGCAGAATTAAAAGAACTACAAGAATATTTATTATACTATTTGGTATATTAAATAAGAAAAGTTTATTTAAATATGCAATTTTAGGTGAGCTTGATAAAAAAAGAGTCGTAATTGTTGTAGACTATAAAATAAAAGTTATACCAAAAAGTGCATGTGAAACAAAACAAAACTTCTTTAGAAAAAAGAATAGTCATTGCATTCAGTATTGAAATATACTTGCCTGCTCAATAACAATGATTTACAAGTTCATGCTTTTGACTATTGGTCTATAGAATTATGTCAAGATACTTGGTTCACAGCTTCTTTATTACATGCCGCAATAACTGAACTTAATTCTCAGCTAGAATGGATTTCTTTTTTGTTTGATAATAGTCCTCATTATCATAATGCAGATATAATAATGATTATAGAGCTATAGAAAGAATAGTACAATATTTATATTAGAAAATGGACTTTTCTTGAAGCTGGAGAAGCCAAAATGACTATTGATTCTCATCATGCATAGGTTTATCTACTAATTTTTTTTTTTTTTTTTGCTTTATACATTTTACTGAAACCTTTTGGCCATTTTGGCCATATAGCAAATTATTAAAGCAAAGTTTTTGATAATTTGTAAATATGGTAAAAATTAGACTTCTTATATATTAAAACAGATCTGCAAAAACTTGTGCAAAGTCTTTTGGTATTTCAGCAAGACCTTTTGGTATTTTAGCAGACTTTGAAATTTTCAGCAATCTTACTTAATATACAGCTAAAACTTCTAGAGTCTGCTGAAATACCAAAAGGTTTTGCCAAATTACCAAAAGACTTTGTATAAATTTCTTTAGATCTATCTGGCTTAACATATATAAAGCCTAATTTTTACCATATTTACAAATTATCAAAAACTTTGCTTTACAGCTATTCTTATAAATTCTGAGACAACTAATAAAATTTTAATTGCTGAATTTGATAAGTTAATAATTTTAGTCAAAATAAATAACTTATTAACCAAAATCAATAACTTATCAAATTTAGTAATTAAAATTTTATCAGTTGTTTCAGAATTGTGAGAACAGCTTTAATCATTTGTTATGTAGCCAAAATAGCTAAAAGGTTTCGGTTATATATATATTTTGCTTTGCTTTTATTTTATTATTTTATTATTTTTTTTTCTAGATTTCGCACGCAATTAGTCATCATATCTGTCTAGAATTTGATATTTTATAAGAATCAGATATTAAATTAGTAATTGAAGGAATTCATAGAACATCAGTAGCCTATCTAGAACTAGAAGGTACTAAAGATAAGACAAGTGTATAAGATTTAAAGTATTGGATAAATTAACCTTTTTTTAGTTTCAGGTAAAAAACAGATTAATACTTTACCAGATAACTCCAATTGGTTCTCATAAGAGTAGCTATGTGATAGCAATTATGCAGGATATATTCGAGTACATATTATACCTAATATTGGTGAATAGAACAATTTTTCATCAGTGAAATTAGAAAAATTGAAAAAGAAAGAAATACAAAAACTGCATCCTCAAATAACTCAGCATTCAACCCCCAAATCTCTATAGTTTATCCTATTACTATATAAATCAGATAATATGTCTCTATTTTATTATATTTTTCTACAAATTATATGATTATCTGACCTATATTTTTAGGAGTTATTTCTCATCACTCAACAGCTAACTATCTACAAGAACCAAGTAAAGAAAAAAAGTAATATTAAATCCGTTCATAGTCATAATTTTTTATGTCAATATAGAAACTTATAAAATTTATAATATACTACTAAATAAAAGTGTATATGAAGAATTTCTACTTATATTAGAGTGGGTACTAAAAGAAAATCAAAAATTTAGAAAAAAAGAAGCAGGTAAAAGAATTAGTAAGTACATAATAGCTTATTTAGAAGGATATTTTTTGGTAAATAATACTAATAAAAGTGATAAATATAGCATAGAAGTAGGAGCCTGCAAATTACTTATTTTTGTAGTTCAGCTCAGCCAACACTTAGTTTTAAAATTTTTTTGTCAGCCTGACTCAGCCTGCACTTAGGTTTAAAATTTTTTGCTAGCTCAGCCTAGTCTGTATATAATAAATTTTTCTTCAGGCTGGCTTAAACCAGCCTAGCGCACAAAATTTATTATAAATTTTTCTTCAGGCTAGCTTAAACCAGCTTAGCGAACAAAATTTATTATAAATTTTTGAAAATTTATAGACCCTCATTGGCCTGCAGTTATAAAATTTTGTTTTAGGTCTGGTCTAGCCTGCAAAAATTTGCAGGCCAGACCAGGCTGAGCTAGGCTGCAAGACCCAATACAGGTCTCTACATAGAAGAAATATAAAATGAATTAATGAAGTTAATAAAAATAGGTAATCTGAAGAAAAGCGACATTTCAAAAGTATCAACTATTCAAAACTAGATCACAAGATATGTAATGCAATACAAGCAAAGAATAGCACAAGTAAAAATTTACGATAGTATATAATAAAAGTTTATATACATATATACTCAAATCACAAAGGTTAAGAGTTTTAGAGAAGCAGAATCTGATGTTTCTCTAATGTAAAGTTTTTAATAATCAACTTTTTTAAAAAAAATTACAGATACTTGATTATTTTAGTCTTATATAATCGATTGTACTACTACTTTAATACAACTAAAATTTAATTTATCTGGTTAATATAAAATAAAAGTTTGCTATTTTTACTTTTTTTATAAGTGATTTGCAAATATTTTCCAAAATCTAATAATAAATTTCACTGGTTCCCATGCAAATCATGAATTAATAAACTTTAAAATTTTATAAAAAGATATATATATTATAAAAATTTTATAGATATTAATTAAAGAATAAATCTAATTTGATATCTAGTATTTGAAATACGAATTTTAATTTTTTATAAAAAATAAACAATTTTTTATTAAAAAAAAATAAATTTAATTAATTTTAGAGTTAGAACAAGGCCTAGGATTTAGGTTATAGCAAGGTTTATATATAGAATTAAGCAAAAAAATTTTTTATTAGAGTCTTAAAAGCAGTTTTATAAGCAAAAATTTTAAATATTCATATTTTTTAAAAAAATTCTTTATTTTAGTTATACAAAAAAGATTTATATATTACACTTGATCTTGAATTTTAATTAGCTTTTTTAATACTTTTATACTTTCTAGTATATTAATATTTTATATCTAAATAGAAATTACTTTAATTAAAAATCAAAGAACTTTTATAATAAATATATGTTTATTTTTTGCTAAAAAACAAAATACTATACAGATTATATAAAAATTAATCTATATTTACTCTATCTTTAATAATACAATTAAATATAACTTTTTCTATTTTAGTATTTTTACTAAAGTTTAATACAGTTTCAAAAAACTAAATAATAGTTTTAAATAGTAGTATAGATTAAATAAAATACTATTATATCTTTTTTCTGTTTCTTCTAAATTATTATACTTTGTATTAATATATATTTTATATTTTTTAAATTTATTTAAAAGGTCTGATGATCTTAGTATAGTGGTTAGATTGCCAGACTGCTATGCAAGAGGTCTAGGATTCAAATCTCACTATATACAGAATTGAATAATTACCTAGACATCTATATTCAAATTATAGTAAAACTCTGCTCATTTCTGAAGGTTGTAACCCTGTAAATCATATTGCATCAATGCTAATTAGGGTATTAGAAGTGTGATGAGATATTCAGCGAAGCATAATATTATATGAATAAATCTTGATAGAATCTACGAGCAGAAAACCTGCATGGTAAAAATCCTGAGTTAGATGAAGTAGTATAGATTTTAATAGTCATACTAGTTTACACCTAATCCAGTGAAAGAAATCTGTGGCTGAAGGATATAACTAAGTGGGTGTATGTAATTTCATCATATAAGGTCATATAGCAATACTAACTTGGCTTAGCAGCTAACTGGATTAGAAGGATCTGTCTCATGAAATATCTAAAAACATGAAGAACTGATCTAGTAGAAGGTCCTAGTAGGAACTAGGTTTGTACAAACATTGAACAAGAGTATATGCAAGCTAAATTAGGATATAGTATAGTATAGTTAGGTACTATAGTATCTATCACTTAGGAAGTTAATAAAGAGGTATCTAAGATAGGCCTAGGCTTCGAATCATAAAGTTTGTAGACATATGTCAGCTCAGGTGTCTTCTTGGAAAAGTAGTACTAGGTTAGGCTGGCTTAGTATAAAATAGATAGAAATAGGTAAATCATAGGGCCAAAGAGTTTAAATAGAAAATCTTCAAATAGATTTCAAGTATCACAACTAGTGTAGAACCTTCAAGCAGACTACTTAAATAGACAATCTAAAGTTGTACATGTGACTAGTTGTATACTCACAATATTTATCATTACCTACTATCAAATAACCAATAAAGTTTTGGCTAATAACACTTGTATAAAGTAAAAAAAAAAAAAAAAAAAAAAAAAAAAATTTATTTAAAGCAATTAAACAATTAGATAAAACTATGGTTAGTCTTATTTAATATACTATAATTAAGAGTATTATATAAATAGTAGATTTTTTATTCAGTTTATTTATATTATAAATTTGATTGAAGATGTCTTTAATATTTCTTAAATGCTATTTAATATATTTATTTTGTTCTTCTTTGTTTATTTTATTTAGAATAAGAGTTATTTTTATAAATACAGAAAATTCAATACTAGTTTTATCTACTTTAATATAAATAGAAATATAAATTAAATAATCAAAAAATAATTATTATAATTATTATATTTAAAAGAGTATTTTGTATTTTTATTAGAAAAATTAGATTTTTTTAGAATTTGTATAAGTGTATCTTAGTAATATTTATAAATAGATTTGAGAAGATAAAAATATTTATATATATTAATTCAAAAAAAGTTAGTATTATTTATATAGAGTTTTTTTTAAAGTAATTATAATATTAATTATTTAAATTTTTCTTTATTAAGAATGCTATTAAAGTAAAATATAAAAAATAGTTTAACAGATCTAGTAATTTTAGTATAGTAGTTAGATTATTAGACTATTATACAAGAAATCTAAAGTTCAAATTCTACTATTAAAGAATATAAATAATTACTTAGAATTTGTATTTAATTTTTAGTAAACTTTATTTGTTTTTAGAAGTTATAACTTTATAAATTATATTATACTAATATCAATAAATATTAGAAATATAATATAATATTATATAAATAAATCTTATAGAATCTATAAGTAGTTGATTTGTATGATAAAAATTTAGTAAGTAAAGTAATATAGATTTTAATAATTATACTAGTAAATATTTAATTTAAAAAAAAACTATATTTAAAAAATAAAGATTAGCTTAGATACAAATAAGTTTGTTTTATAGAAAAAATAGTATAAAACCTATAATTAATCCAATTTTCTAAAAATAAATAATTTTCTTAAACTTATCTAATTCAAAAAACTTTTATCTTGCAAATAACTAGACTATTTAATATTATTCTAGCTTCTACAATAGAATATCCTCTTCAATAGTTCTTCTTACTAACAACTAAACTCTCTACTCTTATCATAATATAATTTAAACATATTTTTTATTTTTCTAGAAATACTAATAATAATATTCTATTAAACTCATTTTTCCTAAAACTTTCTACTATTAAAAAACTATTAACTTATATAAGTTGTAAAAAACAGTTAATTCATCATCTTTTCTAATCTAAATTTTTGAATACTGAATTAAAGAATAACTAAATAAAATCTAGTATTCTACTATCTCAATAGAAATAATTCAATAATACAAATAAAAACTCTACAACTTTACTTGTATTATATATTTATTTCATATTTCTAATTTTAATATAAATATAAATAATCTTAATATTAATTTAATTTACAATTTTCTTTCTTTAATTTTTAATACTTCTACAATCCAAAGCCTTAAAAACAATATTATTCTAATTCTTGAAAAAATTCTTATAGTTACTAACTCTTATCTCTTACTATAGAAAAATATCTATTTTTATACAAATAAAACTTTATATAGTAGAATATTTTTCTAATATATTAACCTCTATAACAACTTAAATAATACTTTTGTTTTATCTCTCTAGTCTCAAATACAAATTTTACAAATAAATCTATTTATTATTTTTTTTTTTTATTTTTTACAAACGACCTCTTTGGCCGGACACTTTATTAAGTTCTGTTATAATTTATTACAAGTAATGATTACAACTTATTTAATTCTATGTACAACCTTAGGACTAATTTATCCTCGAGGTAAGCTTGACCCAATTACAACTAACCCACTATAGTATTTAATTAGGATTTATGCTACAACTATCCTTATTAGGTCACCTTTTTCTATATTCTCCGCATCTCTCATACTCCTACAGAGATACTACCAAATAGGTAACCAGGGGGACATAAATCTATTTATTAATAAATTTAAACTAATATTTACTTTATTAACTATTTTATTTAAAAACAACTAGACTATATTTAAAACTTAAACACAAGTCAATATTAGAAAAATTCTTTTTATTAACTTAAATAATTTTATTTTCTAATATTAGATATATAAACCTCTTATTTTCTAACCAAACTATTCAAATTTTTTCTTTATTTATAATTAACTTTACTTGTAAAAGCTAAAAAAAAAAACAACAATACAAAATATCTATTGACTACAAAAAAATCTTAGCACTTTTTTAACTATATTTATTATTATATTATTCAACTTATATAATTACTTCTCAAATCTATATTTCAAATCCAATAAGTGAACAAATTACTAACTTAATTCAAATACAATTATACTAATTAATTTATATTATAAAATACTCAAAATTAATTTACTAAATAATTTATATTTATATACAGATACTTCTATACAAAATCTTCTCTTAATACATATAAAATCTAGTATTAGTAGATTTTAAAAAATGTTACAAGTATCAAATTTAATACAAATTCAACTAATATATATAGAGTGTTGCTATTTTTACTCCCACTTTTGCTAATGCCACCTTCTAAAATATATAAAAATGCTTCAAAAGAGATATTATTATTAAGTAAACCTCTTTTTTAGTATTAATTAAAGTTGTTTATTGGGGTTTTCCGGTTCTAATGGTGGTAAAATTATTAAAATCGGACTAGTAGTTCTTTTTTAAAAACGAATTGAAGATTATAAAATTTAGAGTATAAATATTTTAAGAACCACCAATTCGATCTTAATGATTTTATTACCATTAGAACTGGAAAGATCTAATAAACAACTTTAATTAATACCAAAAAGAGGTTTACTTAATAATAATATCTCTTTCAGAGCACTTTTATGTATTTTGGGAGGTGGCATTAGCAAAAGTGGAGGTGAAAATAGCAATTTTCTATATATAAGATTATATATATATATATATTTTTTATTTTTTATAAGTGAGATCATGTCGCAGTTCTTTATTTAAGTAATATAGGTACAAATTGTTTAGAAACTATCTGTAGTACATATATATCTCCTAAAAACTAAGACTTAGGCTAATTTACCTATAACCTAAACTTAACCAAGAGGGG